TTTGGGGGGGGGGGGTGAGGGAATCCAAGTGCCACAAATCACGTGAAATGATCCAATCAGATCGCAGAGAGGGTCAGGAGGAATTTACTTGTTCGAGGTCACGCGTGACAGGGACAAGACAATGTGAAACGATGGAGCAATTGCACCGTGAATGCGTTTCCGTACAGTGTCACTCTCATACGAATAGTTCGGAATTTTAGGGAAAAATATATTCACATCTATCTCACAGTTACTTGTGAGTAGTGGTGTGGTATAAATGATATTGATTTGGTCCGGACATCCTTCGGACGCCCTGTTCACACACACACACACACACACACACACACACACACACACCCNNNNCACACTCCATTGAAGACCTTGAAGATATTGAGGGAGACCAGATGCAACGCCATGGTGGTCATTGACCGAGGAACTAATGCAGAACTTATGTGCTGTGCTTATGTGCTAATGGATCTTTGGCGTCGGAAGACATATGGGTGATTGTTGAGGACGTCGCGGCGTTCCGGGGGATAGCAAAGCTGTTTTGAATTTACTAGTTCCGTGACGTCAAAGGGACATGAGGCAGTGAAGGTCGGCAGTAATTAGATCCGTATAGTAATGTTTGGATTAGCCACAACGAGAGCAAACCAAAACAACAATTTTCGGTTGACGACGTTTCAACCCTCTTGGAAGGCCTTATTCAAGTCAATTAACAAGCGAACATGTTCGCTTGTTGTTTTTGGTTCTCCCGTGGCTAATCTAAACATTCCTATACGGATCTAATACTATGAGCACGACGCACAATTCCCTCAAAGATATCCGTTCCAAATTTGGATCTGATACGGTGGACAGTAATTGTTAGGATCACATCAATCAACTCTTTGCAATGGGGGAAGCGCAAACAGTCGTCCAACTGCGTTCAGACGCCCTATAAAGAAGAGGTAAGAATAAGGAAGACGAAAATTGGAGACAGGCTTTGGCTCGCAAGTCTTGAACGAAACTGGTCGGATGCCATTTGGGCTCGATGACTTCTGTGTCTATCTAGACAGGTATTCCTGATTATGAATTTGGCACAGAATGTGGAACTATATTGGCCGGTGGGTTAAGGGCGAGCGTTGGATAAAGGTATGGTAGAATTGAAATCTGAATAAAAACACATACCCCAGTCTTTTGGAACCAGTTCGCTAGAGGCGTTCTCAACTGGAGAACAGGTTAAGCGTCAAAAATGAGGAGAAATTGCTTTTGCAAGGGGCCAGAACGAGCGGATACTTGATGGACAGATGGCTAGTTTGCATAGTCTTACGATGAGTTGATTTTTCTTTAGTTTTCTGGAAAGAGAAATTTATTTTGCGTTTTCCTATAGCAGTGTTGAGAAGAGGGATTTGGAACAAACACCACTATTTTAAAGCTTTCTTTAGCGCGTCGACTGTCCGGGAACAAGCATCTGTAAAACACTCAGGGGGGTTATTGTATTGGGATTTAAAAATGTGGGGAGTAAACGTGTTCATGGTTTTGCAATAGTCTCCACAACATTCAAGGTTAAAGTGATTAGTGCTGACAATTCATCCTATTGGGTGCATAAAGCTTTACTTGACTGACAGTCATGCCTGTACCGTCGTTGTCGTTGAAGATATTCTAATCCGCAGAATTTGCAGCAAGAAGGGAACGTTGGGAAGACAAATGAATTGTGAACATTAAAGATGATAAAACAGTGGTCCAATTAGCCCAGAGAAAAGAATAGATATAAATCCGAGAAAAGTAAGGAACTGGAAATTAATAACAAATCGACGCTCTCGGTATACTCCTCTGCACGCTCGGCGACGCTGGTTGGAAAGGTGACCAATTGTGATAGGCTGTTTACAGCGAATAATGCTTTTACTTCGCGGCCTATGGTTGCGGTTTTTGCAGAGTGTGCTAACAACTCGGTGTTTTTAACTTTGAAATCATCCAGGATAGTGATATGGACCCTGTGGTTTGATTGCAAAATGTTATTCGACACGAAGTAAATAAAGACCAGACTCAGATCAATCAGAGAACCGAAAATGATGCTGAAGTTGTGGTTAATAGATGGGATATAGAGTTTCGGCCATAGAATCTGACATTTGCAAATGGAAACAGTATGGAATTATAGGGTGACTGATGCTGAATGGTGATTATACGCTCATACACCAAATTTAATAGAAAAAGGGTACACAATGTATCACATGAGAATAGAAGATGTATAAGAAATTTTGAAGAAGATAATTGTGCTCCCGAAAGGAAAAGAATAAAATGAGGCGAATTTCAAGCACTGATGCACAAAATCAGTATTGTGATGAAGACCGAGAATGCTAATGAAAGGTATCTGAGAGCGCGTTCGAACCTGAGCGTGTGAAGTGATATATTGTGCTGTCTATTATAATAATATTATTATTATTATGAATTAGGCTCCTGAGCTGCCTTAGCCTGCTTTCAGTGATGTAGTTCAAGCACGTAATGGACTACTTACGTTGCTTCACCATAAAACCGCTTACCTTTATGAACCTTACCCTATGTTGATGGATTTACTTTACATCACCGCAGTTCTTTCTTACCATCCATACGTTCAGGATTCACCTATGACCCATCCGCTCCGGTGCCGACCACCACCAGCGTGGAAGCCGAACCAGAACCGGATACGGGAGAACAATCTGGTAAATCCAAATCCAAAAAGTCGAAAAAATCCAAGAAAAATGCCGCCCCGAACAGCGAAAGCTCAGATCCAGCACCAGGCAGTGATCACCTGCCCGTCGGAAGCGTGGCCGGTGGTGGTCGATATGACGGCCTAGTAGGCATGTTTGATCCATCCGGTGCACGAGTTCCATGTGTCGGAGTCAGTTTTGGTGTTGAACGACTGTTGGCCATTCGTGAGGCCTTGGCCACGTCCGGAGCAAACAAGTCCGGCATTGCGCGAGCCACGGAAACTGATGTCATGGTTGTGGGCGCACACAAGGGCCTAATAACACAGCGGCTTCAGTTCTGTCGGCGTCTATGGGACGCCAAGATCAAGGTGAGACCCATTGACCTGGTGACTAACGCTTCCGATGACATTGTGATCTCCCATCCAGTAAAAGACCACTCGCTTTGTCATCATTACCAGGATATCGAGATCTCGAATTTCAGCCTATACATTCGCACATCGACATCATGTTACTAACCCGATACTCAATTTTTAGACTTATTTCTCCTGCTTGAGAATAAGTCGGGTTCACGAAAGCTGGTTTCCCAATTAACAAACAGACTGCTCCTCAGTCTGGTTCATCCAAGTGCTACCTGACGGGCATCAGATTGATGGTGTGGCGTCGATTGTCTGTTTTAGTGAAGGAATACCAAACTGTTCACGGACAATCACCTGTGTAATCGTCCAATCAGCCACAATAGAGATCTCGCGTGATGGCGTATACCTTCGCTGATGGTGCGACCTATTGTCGCCAATGTTCCGACACTTTGCTAGTTTAAGAACGGACTCAAAGGGTATATTTTGCGAACTGAGTGAAGCACATTTCGATATTTCGGTTGGACACTTCCATCTGCCCAGCTTGTATTTCGTGGTTGAGTTTCAGTTTCAGTTTCAGTTTGAACAACCATTAACCATGCACTTTCGTGCACCGGTTTTGGTTGCTGTCTTTTGGCTGCCCATTGGGATGAAGAATAGGAGAAGAAAGGAAAGTCGAAATTGGATTCGAAAGGAAAATGGCGTTCGTGCATCTCCTCAATTTCTTCCCAACCTTAGTCCACTGAACTTCTCCATTTTCCTTTCGTGGTTGAGTAGTCTGTATCGTTATGCATTGATTTAAAGGCAACAGTTTCAAACCCACAAATGCTCTGCTATCATCCGTCAGAATACTCCTTATCTACTGTGAAATACTCACACTATTTGCAGTTATTTCCAATATGCATCTTGAAATAAAATGAATTAAAAACCCCATTCTCCCTTTTGGTGTTTCAGTTTGGGTTGTGACTGTTCACACCCTTCCCTTCCACCACTGGCAGTTCACTTAGGGATATAAAAAGAATTCCTCATTCCAAACGAGCCAACCCACAGCTTCCCGATTGTTGTTTGATTGGTCATCAAGGTGCATCGAGCACTCTTGGCGTTAGACCCTATCTAAATTAAATGGCTTATGGTTCAATAAACTGGTCATTAACTCTTAAGGACTGTGGTTTTCACACCACCTTACTGCCTTGCTGAATAGGCTTTGATTAGATGAAGGTTCCGATTGTGAATGCTCCACTAAGATTCACCTTTTTTGGCCTGGGTGATCTGACAATATTCCTCCCCCGAGGTACTAATCAGTCTATTTCTTTGGTATGCAGATTTTTTACCATGATTTGTTTGGCACATAGTATAGACTCATATTAGTGAAAAGTAACTAAGTTTTAATGTGATCATCTTTGGCCTTCTGCCATCCTTAACTTTCCTTCAACAAACATCGCTCGCTGAAGAAGCGTATCTGGCGACATGCGTGTGAAATGATTGCAGAAGCCTTTTAACAGCGATCGGACAAAGGCCCAGTATCTAGGCTTTATTCAACATGCAACTGGGCGATCGGAGCTGAAGAGGATAAAGGGAAAATTTTGAGGATCGAGGGCAAAATAATATTAGAACAACAGGCAAGAGCTTGATATGACAACGCTTAACGCATGCCGCAACCATTTTTATTTATGGAGATCAAGTGCTCGCTGCAGTGCCCCACTGCGATTACCTAAAACTCTTCGATTGGCCTCGTCATCGTTTGTTCGGTTGCTTCATCAGACTCTAGCAGCGCGGCTTAGACAGCGCTTTCAAACACCGGTAACGCGTCCTGCCACATGAGAGCCGATCTTTGCAAGAGGATAACATGAAAAATAGGACAATCCTGACGAACACTACCTTCTATGGTGAACTCGAGTGAGGATCCTTATCAATCCCGATCTATTATCAGTGTTTCTGTGCTTTCATAACCCCCTACACATGTATGCGACTTCAACTGTTACAAACAGCTTGTTTGCTTAATGTTTATACGTCTGTATTCACTCGCCTCTCGTGCTCATATTCTTCACCATTTTTTGGTCTCTTCTAGGCTACCATGTCGCACAAAAATCACCCTAAAATGCTGGACCAGCTGCAGTACTGTGAGAGCACCGGAATTCCGCTGGCTGTAGTACTCGGTGATGGTGAACTGTCTCGTGGTGTGGTTAAGCTACGTGTTATTGCTACTCGGGAGGAGCGCGAAGTATCGCAGGACGCTATCGTGGATACGATTCATCAGGAGTTGGCAAAGATGCAATCGAATGGTCGATGACCTTTAGACAAACTGGCTGAGACATGAGCACCAGTAATGGCCTCGTGGAAAACTGATAAACTCAGTTCATTCCTCGTTTCCTGCTGCCGATTCATAACTGATTCTAATTGTCTCTCGCCCTATTTGTCCTGCATCACTACTCTTCTGTGCATCCGCATGCCTTCCTCATATGGACGTATCTGTGATGCATTCCGGCAAACGGCATTGTTCCTTACTTGGCGCAAATACATCTGTCTGTTTGGAGAGTCCCGGTTACATTTTGTTCGGGTTCTGTCTCAGCTCCCATGGTTCGGCTTGCCTGGGTTTAGCTCATAAAACATTGCGTCCCCCTGTTCATCACA